GAAAACGACGTTCACTTAACACAAGCATTACAATGAGGTAAACAGAACAACCGAAAACGAAGGAAGGGACTTAAGTACAGGCAGCGCAGTAGGCGACTCCGTACACAGCACCTCCGAATCTCTGATCAGATATAAGGCCCACGACCGTGCCGTTGAAGTCAACGATGACAACGCGACCGTTCTCTCGGTCTGCCACGTACACCAGTTTGCGTTCTTCGTCTATGGATAGGTCGTGCGGGACGTGCAGCGAATTTCGAAAGAAGTCCACGCCTGAAATCTGCTTTAGCTGCAGCTATCGCAATGGGTGGATCGTCGAAACAACGATTATAAAATCCAAGAAATTCATAACTCGCTCAAGCTCGGCTTAGAAATAATAGTTACTGTGAGTTCGAATTACTGATTAATGATTATTGACGAATTAATAATACTACTCAGTTATCGATTCGGGTAATTCGCCGAGTCGAAAAATTCGAACACCCTCTTTAACAGTTTAGTTACCGGTTTGGGTTTTTGATTACAGAGTATTCTACAGAAAAACTTGGTAAAGGTTTTCTGAGTCTAAACCTATCAATCGCTGCGGACAACAAGTAAAACCTCTGTAACTTTACCAACCTCCTGCCTTGAAGAAAGCTAGCGATTAACGAGCTGAAACGCCAATATTGGTCACTCATCAAATTGACCATATTATGTTTGGCGTTGTGCATTAAATAAACGTATTTTATGCTGTTTCTCAGCATGACCTGCAAAGCACGAATGAAATTATCTATCTTCCAATGTTCTTATGAATGAACAGCACCAAGGATCGGAAGTTGCTTAGGGCCGTTTGTTTAGAGTCTATTGGCAGTGAGAATGAACAAAAACAGAGCGGCATTTAAAAGCCAGTTTACGCTGTTAAGGACCCACATTGATATTTATTTGGTTGACAGTTGTGGCAGTTTCGAAACTGTTTAGCAATGAAAACACGGGATCTGCCGCTGCCGTAATGAAATACGGTGAAAAGTATTCCCTTTAGTTGCTAAGGTAGCTTTGAAGACCTACCCTGAACCAACGACGTGTATCTAATGTGGTAGTGATGACAGTCGACTCACCTCTTAGAGCCATTGAAGTAGACCTGTGAAGGAAACCGATGCTTTCATAAAATTGCTTGAGGAAAGGATTGCAAATGAGCTAGCAATTTTAATTATATGCAAAGAGCAAAATAACTGAATATTACGCTACCATTCCTCCAAGTAAAACACGGTCTTGGATCAGATTTATGGTAAAGAGCAAATCATTTGCTTGGGTGTCTTGAATTTTGCGCCCTAATGTATTAATGCCCTCTCGAAATGCAAATTTTATTTCATTAGGCACTGACTGGTATTAAAGCTTAATCGCACATTGGGTATGCTGTTTAATGAACTCGTAGTATGATGCTGTTGTGTAGAAATAAGATGCTCAGACTGCATACAATAGCTATGCGAGATGCAAGTGCTGCGAATAAAATACAACGGAATCGTAACCTGCATAATGGCCTCCTGCACACGTCTACACGCCGAAGAAACATGGTCATAATGTGGTATATCTTAGTTTAATAAAGTAATGTTGAACATAACAGTTTATAGTAGTTATGAAAAGATGTCGTTTTTGCTTTAGTAAAATCACGAGGTCTGAAAGGTCAGGAAGGCCAACAAATTTTATCGAAACGTATTGTCACCCATCTTTAAGCAAAGTGGGGTGCAATCGGAGATGCCCACTGTCGTCGAAGGTATTCATCAGCCTGTTTGGAGAATGTGTTATAAGAACAGCGTTTGAACGCTTTGCGAGAGGTTTCAAAACAAAACTAAGGCGGCTACAATCCTGCAATATACAGACGATGTAGCACCAACCGCAATATCACAGATTTAATCTGATAGAAATCGAAGTGACGACAGTTATGAGATGGTAAATTCCAATTTAATTTGTCATTATCGTTGTTTCATAATCGTCATCTGGACTTAACAGAGCCTCACGAACAGTGTAATTCAGACTTATCATCTCTGACCGTTAAAAATAGTACTTCACATTTATATTGAGCAAAGTTCCATATGTTACACAGCTAGCCATATTTCGCAGATACCAATCCAACACGCCGATGCATTTCAGGAACAGTGTTGCCATCGTTAGTCAACACAGCTCCGAGGTACTTGAAATGGCTCATTTCGTCCAGTGTAATACCATTGCAAAATATCCTTGAACTGTGAGTCGTGGACGGCGTTCTAGTGCTTTTAGTATTTTTCTGCGTTCATGTAACGGTGTTATAAACGCTTTAGTAAGTGTCAATAGACTCATGCAGACTCGTTTAGCCAGAACAACGTTATCGGAGTACTAAAGGCTCGCTAGGATTACTGTCGGGTATCTCAAACTTCGTCCGTGATTCATGGCCAGTTCCTCGTCGTCATTTGGGACAACGCACTTCTGCATAACGTAGTCCTCCATAATG